ATCTGTGAAATATATCAATTTATACCTAACGTTCGGGAGTGTCTTATTTCGAGTGTGGATCCTAATCCTTTGAGCGTATAAATCCCTAAAGACCTCTTCCTTAGCGGCTAGAGGCACAACAAAAGAATGAATGTGATAATTATGCAGAAGCATTTTCTTTAATACAATATAAATTGAAAGATGCTCTTCAGTATCATGAAAAAATAACCGACATTCAGCAAGGTATGGATAATATTAAAGAATTAATTGAAAAAAAAATATCAGAAATTACAAAAAATGAAGATGAAAATGACTGTCTTGAAAATGGTGCATTAGAATGTGTTCCTGTCGAAGTTGAAGGAGCTATGAGGGACTTTAAAGATGTTGGCAATAAATTTGAAATTAATGTCGATGAAATGGTGACGCAATTAAATATTGATCAAAAACGAATCTTTGATAGAATTACTGCTGGTATATCTGATGATAATAGTGAAGTTCTTAGACTTTATGTAAGCGGTGAAGGTGGTACTGGAAAGAGTTTTTTGATAAAAACTATTAGATGTTGGATTAAAAAATATATTGAGAAAGACACAGCGGTAACTGCACCAACCGGTATAGCAGCTTTTAATATTGATGGACTTACTATTCATAGATTATTTCAATTACCGGTAGAACATGGTCGTACTGCCAAATATACACAACTTTCTGATGTAGTTCTTAGAATTATACGGGAGGAACTTAAGAATGTTGTTTTAATAATTATTGATGAAGTTTCAATAATTTCAAATATCACTTTAATGTACATACATCTTCGATTAACAGCGATATTTAATACCATGGATTGCGATAATGGATGGTTCGGCAAAAAACATATACTTTTTTTTGGAGATTTATTGCAACTTCCACCTGTGCATGAAGATCCGCCTTTTATTGAATTATCAAAATTAAAAATTGAGAAATATATTGGTGCAATGGGTTGGAATGTCAAGTTAATAATGATAAGGATGTTAATGATTCTACTTTATGGCATATAAGAGGACTTCCAAATGTTGATAATATATCTTGCTATGCTAATGTTTCAATTCAATGTATACTTCATTCTTCTATTCTCAGAAAATTGTTGCTTCGTCTTGAGCATAGAATAATTATAAGAAAATTTATTAATTGTTACATGTCAAACGACGAAACTATTAATATAATGGCAATACGCCAATTGGCAGGAGATCAATATCTTGAAAAGATTCAACGAAATGTTAGTGAGTTTATTATACATCTTATTAATAACATAGATAAGATAAAGAGTGTAATCGAGCACCAATTAAACATAACTTTACGATGTAAGGTATGCAACTATACAAACACAAAAATTTATACAAATTATATATTATTGCTTCAATTACCCGAAAATTTAAAAAAGTCATATACTTTACAAGAATTAATACAATATAATTTTTCACATTGGAATAATGTTGAAAAAAAATGTACCAATTGTAATGCTGTCTCTGTACTTGAAAGGACTGATATAATAATAACAGGAAGTATTATTATCTTACAGTTATCATTATTTAAAATTAGTGATACAAAAATTATTAAAGTAACAGATTTAAAAATTAAAGCTGTACCTACAGAAAAGATATGTATTGGCGCGAATATATATTAAGTTATTAGTGGAATTTTTCATCAAGGTAAAAATACAACTGATGGACATTATACAAACATAGTACATCGTACGCTAAAGGTACCGAGTGGCAATTAATAAATGATTCAAAAGTACAAAAGTGCAGTTGGCTTGAAATGCTAAAAACGCATATACATTTTTTGCAAAAAAAATATAAACTTTTACAAAAAGCAATGAGATCACCTAAAAAAAACTCACAAAGGTAAACAAAAATACGCCAAGTATATAAAAAAATCCCAACATGTACGCAAAAAATAATATCTATCCCTACAAAATAACTTTTAAAAAAGTTTTTCCTTGAAAAATAATTTTCATACAAAATAAAAAACTAAAAAATGATTTTCCTCTAAAAAATAACTAAAAAATAAAAACCTTTAAAAAATCAAAAATCAAAA